CAGAGGTGGCAGGAAGTCATTTTTTTTCCAAGTCCAAGTCAAGTCACAAGTCATTTGGTCACAGGAAAAGTCAAGTCAAGTCCCTTTGTCCAAGTACAAGTCAAGCTGCACATTATTTTGTCCAGCTGTAATCAGCAAAAAGAACCAGGCGTCAATTTATGGAGTTACGAGTTATAAAGATATATGGGGCCAGTCGGGTAGCGTCTGACTTGGGTTGGTAACTAGTCATTTTCTGCAAGTCCGAGTCAAGTCACAAGTCAAAGCTGGTATGAACATGTACAAGTCAAGTCACAAGTCACAAAAATAGCGACTGGAGTCCGACTTGAGTCTAAGTCACACGGCTTGAGTCAACAACTCTGGCTTACAGGTAAATATCAGTGCCAATTGGATAGAATTGCTAAGCAGAAAATGTGCTTACAGATGGATACATGAATATATTTTGTGCCTTAATTTGTAAAAGTAAAACTGTAAAATTTCATCGCAGTATTAGAATGAAGAGAAGAATCCTCTGAAAGATGGGGGAAGTATAAGATTCAAGTCTTTAGCTAAGCAGATTTCGAAAAAAAAAACTGTATGAGGAAATCGGGACTGATGACTCAGTACTTGTGGCTTTCACACTGAGATCCTGTTTAAAGAATAGGAAGGTACCATGCTGTTCTTGATACAAAACTAATGCACCTGAAGAACATCGCAGTATTTGCTGTTTTGTTTTATTCTCCTAGAATTCACACGAGATGTATCAGACATGCAGATGCCACATGTAGCTCCAGTTATCCTTCCTGAGATGTACCGCATCTTTGTACAAGCCGATGTATACGGCATACGCACTCGCAGCAGAGCTGTAGAAATATTTAACGAGTGTGCTAATTTGATTTACAATATCATGAGTTTAGGTGACACTACGAAGGTGAGTTGAACTATTAAACAGACATCCATGACGTGGATGAAACCTTGGCCCTTAGTTGTTTAATTGGGGAGATTCATTTAGAACTAGAATGCTCATCGAGTCAACCTTGGAAGCCAGCAGCAGTTTGATAAGAAATAGCTCAAAATAGTTTGTGGATAATACCTGTTTTAAAGACATTTCAATGAATATTGTCAAAACTTAAATGTGATAAATAAAAAAACAACCAAAGGATATCATACAGATGCAGATTTCAGTCTATATAACTTCTCGTTCGCGATCAAAATTGAGAGTATTAGAATGGCTGGTGGACAGGCATCATTGTCGATGTAATTGCCAATTTCCTTCACTAAGCCGCACCTCATCCTGCAAAAACATCCAAACCTAATCCAAAGAAGCATTTGTGCTTTATGCTGATGGTTTTCAAATTTTCCTTTCTGTAAAAGATTGTAACAGTTTTCATTTGTTTTTCTTTCCACACGTCCAGAATGCAGCCAAGAACCTATTGTTTCCCATCCTTCCTAAGTTTACGGAGGCATTTATGCAAGCCCTCCCTGTCCCATACGGAGAGACATCTGACTGTGGTCTGAAAATGGAAGTCATTAAGGTATCCCAGAAACCAAATTGAAATAAGGTAGAAGATTGGTTGTCTCCATTTCGTCATATTTGAAATGTACCCAAACACATCTAGTGGGCAATCATGATAAATGGAAATTGTGAAAAAATCACAACTTTCAAAACTTCAGAGGTTGAGTCTCAATTTGAAATGTACAGGGGTGTGAAAATTAAGCTTTTTAGCTGATATGAACTTTTTTTATTTCGATGTTGACCCTGAATTTCTGCTTTTCTGTACACCTGGTCTGTAGAAATGTATTGGAACAGTTAACATTTCAGCTTTTAGCTAGCTACTTTCAGCTTTGATTTTAACTGGCTACTCACACCCCTGAATGTAGCAAGAAATGCAGTTCGTGTCTGTTTTCTTGCCTGATACTGTTTTTGAATTTCCTGAGTAAGGTATCATCTAAGCTTGTTTCACAGAGCACTGAACACATTTTGTCTTGTCTGTAGGCTCTGACTACACTCATTAAGTTTTTCCCGAGTTACATGAACAAGTGGATGGGACAGATTCTCCCCAGTATATGGACCACGCTCACAGAGTGTGCCAGTATCTACGTAGCAACATGTGTCAATGACTCCGAAGAAATTGACAACCCTGTGGACTCAGACGGTGTGTGCTGAACTTTCTTTCTGAGCAACTTTCCTCGTTACAAAGACATTTATCGTGTAGAGTTTTAAATTGTATGCGAAGATTTTCGTTTTTGAAGTTGGGCTTTGGTTTAATAGGGTAAAAGTGTTGTTTGAAGTCTCAAGTTTAGTAAAATTCTGCAAAGGTTACATAAGTAGGAAATGTGAATAAATATCAGTAAAGCTGAATTAAATTCTTCACCTGTAATTGATTGCAGTACAGCTGCTGTAAAAGATCTGAATTTTCTGACTACAACAAATGCAGTAGTGTCTGAGGAGTTTCTGTGTCTTAACAACGTTGTGTCAGAACTATTATATGAATAGATTGAATAAACTTTGGCAGTTTTAATTTTGTAAGGTTTTGTTAGATTAGTTCATTTTCTCTGTATTGTGTGTGCTGTTTTTTACAACTTCAATTTGTTTTTCTCCTTATTTCATTCAATTTGTCAGGAGAGGTGTTAGGTTTTGAAAACCTAATCTTCAAGATATTTGAATTCTTCACGGCGATGATAGAAACTTCCAAATTCCGCAGCTTGGTGAAAAAGAACTGTGGTCAACTGATGTATTTACTGGTCATGTACATGGAGATTACAGAAGAACAGGTGTGAAGAATTGCATATTAATCAGGGCAGACAGGTTGGGAAAATGTCATATAAATCAGACGAGACAAATGGGGAGAATTATGTATGAATCAAAGCAAACAGGCTGGAGAATAAAAGTTTACGGATGTGAAATCCACAAAGTTCTAACCTAACACAGTCATCAAGCTGCTTTCCCAATAGATATGAGCATTTGCACTTGTTATCGTCACTTTTGCAGAGAAGCCGTTCTTTTTGTCAACAATGGACTAAATTTTGCTGTGTCATGAAGGCAACAGCACAATTCCGTGAGAAGCAAATGTATTTCATTAACATCATTTGATTTATTTTTGTGCTTGTACGTAGGTGAAACAATGGACTGACAATCCTAACCAATTTGTAGTAGATGAAGATGATGATTCTTATTCATTCAGTGTGCGCATTGCTGCACAAGAACTTCTCTTGGTAAGACTTTGCATATCATTACTTCATCCAAAATGACCAATTTTTTAATTCACCAAAGTATTCTTTCCCTTTGCTACTCTCCTTGTACATGTACCTCTTCTCAGGAGAATGATTGAACCATCTTCCTGGACGGCATTGCATGTGCAAGTCCTTTTACAGTTTCAAATTCAGATTTGTGTTCCTGCATCAATTCATTATCAGCCTGTAGCAGGTGGTCACCTTTGCTCGGTAATAAAATCAAGGCAGACATGTTGGAGAGGAAAGCTGTCTGATAGAAGTAGGTGAAATTGCGTTGCTCAGTTTTTTAAAGAGAAGGGTTCAGAGTTCATGACCCCATTTGACCTTTCCTCTGGACATTCTCATTTGGTAAGGCCCTGGCTGCTGAGTTTCAGCAAGAGAGTGCAGTAGGCATTGTACAAGCCGTCCTCAAACATCTACATGATACAGAGCAGAGTATGAACACACCAGCTGGAGCTAACTGGTAAGACCACAAACTGTCCTGGCTCTGATGTATGTACAAGAATAGATGGCCACTTGTAGGCAGGAACTGAATTAGGTGGTTGGTTTATTGGGGGAAGGGGGAATATGTCGCATTTGAATAACTTTGTATGATGAGAATATGATTCGCAATCTTGTCTGGACTGAGATTCTTAGACTCATCTGAGACTCCAGCTTGTTATTTTGATAAGTAATTCTACCATAAGTACATTTGGGCATTTGACTGTTCATCTGTTTCAGGGGTGAACATGTTTTTGTCATGTTAACTAGTTTACAAAATATATATGCTGAGAAGGGGTTAATGGCCTTCGTATGCTGTTAAAAATCTGGAAAAATGACAACTGGCCATGGTTATTTTTTTGTATAATCTTTCTGGAAGGAGGAGTCAGATGATTGCGTTTGTGAAAATCATAAAAAGAAAACTTCATAGATATTTGCTAGATTATAAAACAGCTTCATTTGGAGTGACATTTGTCATCCTTCAAAATTTACTCATTCACTCGTTAGTCCTAGAGATTAATCACATTGAAAAACTTCAAATCATCATGATGGATTTCCATCCCCAAATGCCTTGTCTTAACTTGACTTTTTTGCCAGAGAGATTTTGATGCTGAAAGAAATGCTTTGTTCTGGTTTTTGTAGGTGGAAGATCCATGAGTCCTGTATGTTATCGTTAGGTTCCATTCAGTCACTGATCATCGACAAGACATCCAGTGGAAAACTGACTTTTGATATGAACTGGTTCCTAACCAATATTGTGCTTGGTGACCTCAACAAACCAGGTATGATTTAAAGATACATTCCTGATGCTTATCAGAATAATGGATCCTGAAGAGTGAACATGTTTGCTCTAACAAATCCTTCGCATTGCTGTTTTCAATTTGGTCTGTTTTTATTTTTTCCTTGTCTTTGTTTGCATTACACAAGTGCTTAAACATAAAGTGCTGTTTCAAAATGTTAAAGTTTTAACCAGCAAAGAATTTGTGTTATATGTCTATAAATGTTTTCAAGATTTCTTATTCACATATATCCTCCCGACTTTGCCTGATTAAACGGTAATTAATAAATGTAATCTTTCCGTCAAATTATTATTGCTGTAAAATTGAAACCTGAATTTGTACCCTTGACACAGCGAGCAGTAGAGAATGATTAATAAGATCAGTTATTTTCTCCATTTTGTGACATCCCTGTGTTCTCTCTTCCTTTGACAGTTTCACCGTTTTTACTGGGACGAGCTCTGTGGGCAGCAAGTAGATTTTCACTCGCCATGACTCCAGAATTAATACAAAGGTACCTATCAAGATGGATCTAACAATAATTCATAAAGTATGGATTGAAAACTATGAAACTTACGTGTAGCAACTTATGTTGCTCGCAAGGCATTAACAGGAACATATGCCGGCTGTTATCGAAGGAATTTGCGGTACGTTTTGTTGGAACTGGTTATTTGTTATATAAGCATCTTGTTCTTGTTTTTCCAGGTTTTTAGTATTCACGGTCAAGGGTTTGGAAGCAACACAACCGCCAGCCATCAGGATATCAGCTGTTAGGGCCATCTATGGCTTCTCTGACCATCTCAAGACTTCTGGAAACACTCAGATCATTGTTCCCTATCTGCCAGAGATAATGGAGGGACTTATCCAGCTAGCCACACAGTTCACTAACGATATCCTATCCCTCGTACTAGAAACTATTTCCATTGTACTTACGGTAAGTGTAAACATTTCAGACAGAATTTTTCTTCCAAAAAAATATTTTTTTTAAGGGGTTTTAAGAAATACATTAAGAAATATTTTCAAGACATTTATGAGCCTTCTTCACATTGTCATTTTCTTTTGGGATGAAAATTCAAGGATTTACGTTTACACTTGTCTTATTGTATGTGTATTACAGATAGACGACACTTTTACAGTCCAATGTGAAAGCAAGGTAGCACCCCTTACAATTGCTCTGTTTTTAAAATATAGTCAAGGTAAGAAAATAATTATTTTAATTTGTATGATTTGAATGTTTAAGGATGATCTAATTTGGCATTTAAGTTGTAAAATTGTTAGTCTTAACATTACAGTGTGGGAATGATACTGTACCACTTTTTTCCACCTAATTGTCTCCATCAGAAAACCATGTGTGATTTGATGTTGGCATTAGGGAAGTTTTGGCTGGATTCTTAGGATAAGATTAGATTTGTGAAGAAGGGTTTTGCACAGGTATGTGAACTTAATAACTGCTTCCGTCTTTGTGCACAGATCCTGCCATCACACCTCTTGTGGAAGAAATTTTCAGTGAGCTTTGCCGTAGACATGGTTGTCAGGATTCATTACATGCCAGACTTCTGCCAACATTAGTCAGCATTCTGGTAGCGCCGGCAGAGAAAGTCCCCATGGGGCTACAGTCAGTAAGTAACTCAGTCATGATGAACAACAGATTGGAATCATGGTCATCAATTGGTTACATTGTTGTAGTTGTGGCCTACACAACTTCCTGCCAGTCCACCACAAGTCATCCAGAATTAAGCCAAAATATCTCATGCCGTTTATATGAACTGTGACAGAAACATTCCCATGTCATTGTTTTCACAGTTCCTTACGACTTCTCTCTTGAAAGGACTTATTATGGAATCAGTTACAACACTGGATAGTTAAATGAGACAGCTTGGTCCATTTTATGTCATTGAGATTCACAACCATTTTCTTTATTTACCTGTTCATCTTTCCTGTTCCGACAGACGGCCTTGGATATTTTGTGTGTTATCATCCGGAATAGCTCTGTACCGCTATCTAATGCACTCATCAACAATGCATTCCAAGCTATGGCTCACTGCACCTTGAAGACAGATGATAATGCAACAATGCAGGTAATAGTTCTCAAATAGGCAATAGCAGTTGTTTATGAGCCTCGAGCTGGACCAAGAGAGGGCGTAGTTTCCTTAGCAACGGAGGCTCCTTTGGTTGGAACTGAACTATGCTGGCTCATTAATGACCATGCAATGCGTGCATTACGGTCGTATTGCAAGATTTGCTGCCAACAAAATGAATACTCCCCACCAACATGGCTTTTTTCAACCAATGAGGGGGTGCTTCTGCTCAAGGTGGATAATCTCCACCAATGAATCACTTTGGTATTCCAACGGCACACACCCAAAATGAAGCGTGTCCGAGGTCATTCAGACACACATGCGAGGTCTTCCCTATCAGCACGGCCCTATACTGACTCATGAACATGCTTTGTTCCGGAATAACCTTGCCTTTTTAAAATACCAAACTGGCTCACTGGAACAACTTAAGTGTTCACTATGTTAAATAGTGCTGTAGGCTAAGCTTGAGCTGACTTCTAACTTCATAATTCTAATGCATTACTAGTCACTCCTAAACCATTGATATAGTGTTTCTAGGAAGTTTGGGTTTCGTTTTTGACAGACACCCTGTACACTATTGTGGAAACTTTGTTTTGTTTTACACAAATATGTGTAAAAGCATAAAGCCTTCAAACTTTGACAACTTGTTTTTCTCTTCAAAGCAAATAGTGACATATTGCAAAATATTTGAAACGGTTGCTGACATTATATCAGTGCCACTATTGTTGCCTTTGTTGTGCTTCATCAAACAGAGTGGGGGAGAATGCCTTCGTGCCTACGTTGCAGTGGCTTATGATCAAGTCGCTTCTTGGCAAGATGCAGAAGGTCGTTCTGGCTTGCAGTATGCCATCGATATAGTCACTAGGCTTCTCAATCCTTCAACCTCAGAGTTCACAGCAGCCTTCGTTGGTCGTCTTGTAGCTATACTCATCACCAAAGCAGGCAGTGCACTGGGGAATAACTCAGATATGATCCTACGAGGTGTGCTGAGTAAGATGCAACAAGCAGACACCCAGAGTGTCACCCAGGTTAGTGGCGGTTGACATGGTCAATTACTCATCCGTAGTGATTTATTAAAACATGCTGAAACTATTGTTGAACAGAGTTTTAACAGTTCTATCTGCTCTGAGAAGGAACAACAGAGGGCGTGTTTTGAAATGAAATTGACAGACCTTTGGTACACATGGACCGCATAGACACGCAAGTTTATGCTTGATTGACGCGGAGCACACCAAATACGTGCAACAAATTTAACTTGGTATGTATGGTCTTGGCATGCATGCTGAACGTGTGCAGGAACTCGGTTAGAAACTTGGTACCATCTGTTTTTCTTTTGCCAGTTACGGTGCACCTCTGCTTAGGATGGATAGACTGATCTAATTAGATGCCATAATTGTGGTGGCACCGCACTCACATGTACATTCTTCTCAGCTTGACACGCGCAAATCACGACACCTTATTGATCAAAGAGGCATGCAACAGGTGCATACCACCTATCTACGAGTGTGGCACCACCGCAGTAATGGCTTCTAATTCTATTTGTCACATTACACTATATGCTGTACACTTGCATGAATAGCAATCTCACGTCCATTGTGTGAGAGACATTTGGTATAATGAATAATATTCTTCAATGAATTCATTAGTCTCGGAGCCAGAGATGATGTGAGAAGAGTTTTCCTAACTTGTTCTCTGTGTCTGATATTTCCCTCCAGTCTCTTCTGATGGTCTTTGCTCATCTCATGCACAGCTGCATGGAAGACGTCCTAGAGTTTCTCAGTAATGTGCCTGGGCCCACAGGCAAACCAGCCCTGGAGTTTGTCCTAACGGACTGGGTAACAAGGCAAAATATGTTCTATGGAGCCTACGACAACAAAGTCAGGTAGGGACTAGCTATGAGCATGCTGTCAGTGCAATCCAATCTAGAACTTTTTGATCCTCAAGTCATAAATGAAGTTGTTATAAAAAAATGCAACTGATTGTATGGAATAATGAGGTGAATTGTGATTTACATATTAGTCAAGTGACTAGTGATTTGTGAAGATAGCAAGTGGATATTCTTCAAATAATCCACAGTAGAATCAAAGTCCCTGACTGTAGTTCCAAGTTCAGTAGATAAGATGGTTTCCATCTGGATTTTCTTGGACTTGCTAGTATAACCGCCTTAAGTAAGCTCCTTCAACACATGATAAACAAACAAGACCATCGACTGGAAGGTATTATCGTCAAGGGAGATCAGATCTTCAATATGGATGAGGGGATTCGAACCAGGTCCAAAGCTGCTCAAGGTAGGAGACATCATGCCTCACATGGACTTGAGATGAAAAAAAAAAAGCACTGTCATGAGTATCTCCTCAGACTAGAGGCGGCGCCCTCGTAGGCAAAGGAGAGATAGGATGGTGGAAAGTTTGGATAACCTTTCTGGAATGCATGCAGAAATTGAATGGCCTAGAGTCAGGAATTTTCTTTCACTGGGTACACAGTGGACCTGTATGTTTCATACAGATCTGGATCTCAATCAGTGACTCCATCCATCCATTAGCTGTGGGAAGGTGTCAGTGAACCAGTGATAAATCACTGATCACCATCTGGATCTGCGTAAACCAAACAGGCCCAAAGCTAAGCATGTTCTGTTGCCTAATTATGTGATAGTGTCAGCCATTCTTGAAGTGACAGAAAATACGCAGTCAAAGCAGGCAGTGTTTGGTTTTTCACTTTCACACTTGCAAAAAACATGAAGGAGCAAACAGTGAACTTCAATTCTTTCTTTTGTGTCCAGGCATGTTCAACCTTGTGCAAAACACCCTTTAGAGAATGTTTGTACCTTAAGGGGAACCAACCGTCCATTATTTTCAGTCTTCTTTGGTATTTGGCACTATGCTTGGACACTTCATCTGTCTCCATTTTTTCATCTGGCTAAATGTTGTTAAATGTGACCTCAGCTCCAGAACAATGGACAAGCATTCCACTGCAAGTCAAGATTTACAAGTTGTTGCTGGGTGAGTTATTGAATGTCATGGAGAACAACGTGTCACAGCAAGCATCGGCTGGTGGGGAAGATCTAGAGGTGAGTTCTAGGTTCCAGACGGGGACCTCAAAGGGTTCACTGTAATGCACGTCTCCCTATTATGATTACAAAGGAAAAACAGATGCTTCAAAAGGTTGCTAAGTGACAAAATTAACTTCATTCCAGAAATTAGGGGTCCAAAGGTGTGACATTTTTGTGTCCCTGTTACATCTGACCTTTGTTATTTAACATAGAAATATCACCAGAATTGATTTCAACTATTACTATTTGTTTGGCAGGTAATTTTTATTAATTCATCACTCTTGGAAATTAGAAAATGTGTTCAGTAATTAGAAAATCACATTTCTGATGTAACAGGGACACCAAAAAAAATGGACCCCTACTTTCTGCAATTACCCAAATATCATTTGACCAGAATTCTCCACAGGGTCACTGTTCATTGTCCCCCAATTGTCAGGATGATGGCTGGGAGGATGCTGAAGATGAAGATGAGTATAATGAAGAAGAAGATGGCGATGAAGGAATACCGAGTGAACATGGGTTGCTGGCTCAGCTGTCTGATTACTCATCGGGACTGATTTATCCTGGTCAGATACCAAAAATTGTTTCTTTTGTTAGTGTCAATGCTGTGGACTTTTCTCAGTTGATTCAATCCATCACCCTAAAACAAGGAAGACATGGATTTTTCAGGTTTTTTAATATTTATAGCAGTTTGACTAGATGTATCCCCTTACTGGCAAAGATGAGTGAAGCTGATGGGATGGGTAGTTGCATGTACTTAGCATGTCCCATGTCAAGCATGCATGAACCTGTATGCACATGTGAGATGTCTCCACCAAAGGGGCAACACTGCTGAATGTAACATGCCATTTCTAGCTGTGCAGAGAGTTGTGGCATAAGACTTCAGTCTGATCAAAAATACAGTTTTGTGTTGAGAAAGCTGTGTCATCGTCCGAGCAATCAGAATTGCAGAGAGTGTATGACTTGTGTGCTGTTATTTCACTGATAATGGCGTTTTTGCTAATATGACATCTTTGGCTATTAACCAGTGCTCTACTGATGAAAATTTTTTCCTGTTTTTTGTGGGATTGCATCCAGGGTTGCATGATCTCGCTGGGGATGAGGTTGATGAGGAAGAGGACGATCCTGATGCCCTCAATGATCCTATCTACCAGCTCGATTTACAGGTAATTCTCTGCAACAGACTTAACAATTTTTACTCATTTCTGTTCCTAAATTTCATTCATTTCACAAAAAATTGTTTTAACATTCTTACTTGTCAAGTCTCACCATCTTGTTTTGGGTTTTTCAGGCTTACCTGACTGATTTTATGCAACAGTTATCCCATCAGCCATGCCATTCTTTCTTTACACCCCACCTCAACTTCAGCGAAAGGCAGTTATTATCAAACATTGGTGTAACCGTCTGAACCGGATGAGAGGTTGTCACCAACAGTGATATTTTTCTTGCAACTAAAAAGTGAAGTTTGTCTTCAAAACGAGCGTTAACTTCAGACACTTAACGGTTGATTCTTGATGAGCGGCATGCACAATTAGTCTATTCGCTTGTTGCTTGGCTACAAATATAATGTCTCACAAGATAATCTGCGAGTGGAGTTCAGGTCATTGTTTGCCAGTGTCATTATTTTTGATTTTAGAGTGGTAAAACTGATCTGAGATCAGATTTGCTGTAGCTATTTTTCATCCTTGACTTTTTGTCAAAAAGACCATTGCAACTGAAAAATGTCATTGGGTCTTTGTTGGCAATGTCAGTACAAGCTCAGCAGTGAGTTTGTTTTAAAAAATCTCCATGGTTTCATAAATTTATTATTGTTTCTGTTGTTTCTACCATATTGTTCACATGTTCTTCCACGGTTTTTTAGAAGATAACATTAGTTCTTGGATAACAGTTTACACTTGCAAAACTGAACAGAATGACTTGATTGTACAGTGTTGAGTCCTGGAAGGTGAGAAAGATGGATTTATATTCTAAGAACGTCAGTTGGATGTTAAGGCATTGTTGCTTCACCAAGTATACAATTATATGATTATATTGGTATGATAATATTAAAGTTTTATTTAAAGTTGCTCTCTGTGCTTTGGGCATCAAAAGAGATAGTCTGTGGTGCCAAAAAAAGAAAAAAAACGGGGAAACATACAACGAAACTTGAGTGCATTGGTTCACTGTAAATTTTGTACATTTGCCAAATAGGAATTGGAAACATAATTTGCCTTCGTAGTCAAGGGATTTATTCTATTGTACAGTAATGTTCTGAAAGGTGTCTTTTCCATTGCAGTCTTCAAATTTGGCATCTGTTTTGAAGGTATTATTTACACATAGCAGCACTGTTTTCAAAATTCTGAATTTTGAGAGTTTGCTGTGTGCATTACAAGCAGCGTATTAAAAGGACTACTTACAGGAACAAGAACACAAAGTTCTTCGAGATTATTGGAGACTATCCTCCAAAAGTTACACTACAAAGTTTTCAGTTTTAGGTAGGATGATGAGTTGGGCAGAGTTTGTGCTCAGGTGGACATCATTCCTGATTTCAGATAATGTATCCGTGTGATATGAATATCATTCTTTAGTGAAATGCTCATCCTTTTGACAGCAGCTATGTACAAGTAAAGAAAATGTAACTCTTGAAAATGGGGAACACCTTAATTGATACAAGTAGTTCAACTTTTTAATCAATCCTCTTATTTTTGAATGTCTGAACGGTTTGTGGATTCCAGGAGTGTCTTGCAAAAAGGCAGCCAAACTGCTAACGTATACAGTGAAAGCTTGATACTTGCTGTTAATCTTGAAATACTAACAGCTTTTCAAAGATGAACTTTTGTGGACGCCTGTATTCAGATGCGGAAATTGTAATGTGGATGTTTTGGTGAAATCTCTTTCTTGTCCTTGTATTGAAGGTGAATATCTTTGGCAAAACAATGAAGGTGCATTCACTGTAAGGCCAGGAATACTCATTAACAAAGCTACAATTGTAACAAAAAGTTATTTTCGTTGTATCTTTGGCAGACTTCACTTTTATTCGGTATTACTGAAGAAACGCAGCTGCTGTGTTGTGTGTGCATTCTATATGTACAAATGACTAGACCTCTACTAGATTTCCCGAATTAATAGTGACATTTTTGATACCATTCAAAAAACGTGCTGTTAAATTTTCATCGCTTGTTTTTGCTTAATACTGGAAAAAGCTGATATGGGAATTATCTCTTGAGCATGTGTATACAGGATTTCTGGGTTTTTAAGTAAAATATTCTTCAAGAATGTCGGTAATACTGACTGGATTCATCTTCATCAGGTTCTGGCAGAAATGCCACAAGAGGGTATACAGACACACATTTCCTTTCTATGTCTAAATCAGCTAGGAACCAGCTACACACAGTGTACATCATATTGCATGTTGGTTGGTAACCTCCAGTTGCTAAGCAACAATTTCCTGTGGGTTTCATACCAACCTCATTACATTGGTCTGGGTGAGACTGTTAAATTCTGGAATGTAAAAATATCCATAAAGTTCCCTTAAAGGGTTGTAAATAAACTGATTTTCATGTCTGGCCTTAAACAGTTGCTCTAATACAATTCCAAGTGACTCAAAAAGTTACTGAAGCCTTACGATTCTAAATAAATGCATTGAATGACTACATTTAGAAGAACTTTCTTGTTTTTAGAAAAAGAACTCCTTAGGGAACTTGACTTTAGCAAGCTGGTTGCACTCTGATTGAATAACAGGGTCTTTATAAACAGTCAATATTTTCCATGGACAGCAGCTACAGTGTACTTTTCTGCTGACCTTTCCTTCATTTACATGTATTTTGATGTGCCAAGATTTCCCTTGTGTAAACTCCCATATTATGTAGCTTCACACATTGTTTCATCACAAAAACCTTTTGTCACTATTCAATGCCAGCTTCATGAAGTGTACATGTGCCTCTAAAATGTGAATAGCGTGTGTATTGACACCTTTTTGTACATGTACAAAATGCAAACTGATAACCCTGAATGTGATTATTTGTACTTCATAAATGTTTACTGCAATTACTGGTCGACTGAACTCAGAAATCTGCATAAAACAATGGATAAGCAATCATCTTCATAATGCTATAGATGTGTCGGGATGTGGCACCGACTGACCATCAAGTAATAAAATCCAAGCAATTAAAAACAATTATTTTAACTGATCTTGTACTTTTTGTTTGTTGTGGGGCCTTTCAAAGACTTTAAGAAATAATGGAACTACAAATTTATGAAAAACTGAACTTTAAAAAGTTTATTGCAAACTTCAAGAACTTACAAGTTATGAAACATGGAAACTGCATGTACTATATATACATGTTGGACATGAACTTATGTCGGGTTTTAAATAAACACAATGACAGGTTTTCATAAGATTTTACAATAGAAGGAACATGAAATATCACAAATGCCTTTAAGCACAGCAAATGGCACTGTTGCACTAACATTTGCATTTACAGTAGAAGACGCTTTCATATAAAAACCAAATCTCCTGAATACAAATATTATAACATAATTTGATAACTTTGGCTGATAATGATTTTACAAGATTTATTATTTATTTTAGGTTCAAAGATTTTAACAAATGACAGTAGTTGTATCAATGGGACAGCTGGCAATATGGGAATTCAGGGCCATCTGAATTAACATTTCTCTGAAGTCTCCAACACGAATCCACACCACAGCAATTTCTGCTTGGATCTGATTTCTACATCAATTTTTAATGACATAGCTCGGAATGTAAGGTTCTGTCATCTCTAAGGATACAATGAAATGAATTTGTAATTAATGTTTGTTACACAAGGGACTACCAAGCAGCCTTCACAAAGGATAAAAGCCATGTATAGTTCAAGGTAAGGAAGACTATTGCCAAACTGTACCAGTGCTCAGGAATGATTAAAGTGGCCCAGAATGTCTTTAACAACACATAAGATTTCTAGTCAAGTTTCCCATTTCAGTTATGCAGTCTGTGAAGTGAACAGTGACACAAATATCCATGTGTCTTAGCCTGTACATCCTGGTACTTGTGATCACATTTATGAAATAACTTCTGACTTGACATGCAGCTGCTTCAGTGTGACTATGAAAACTATACAATTACACATGACAGCTAACTTGACTCAGAGTATTCCAGACCTCGAGATTTCACAGTTTTACCCCACTGATCTCCAGGCAAACATGTCAAAGTTTCAAATGAACAAAATGAAGTAATTTACACCAAAATGTTCATGACATTTTGCAGGTTAACTAACTGCTGGGGTTAAAGGTTACAGACATTATCCCATTCATCTCTAAGCAAACATGTCAAAAGTTTCTAATAAACAAAATGGAGTAATTTACACCAAGAATTCAAGACACTTTTCATGTTGACTAACCACTGGGGTTAAAGTTTAAAACTCCCAGATAGATATAACTGGTATGTAATATTACAGGTGCTGAATGATTGCAGAGGGAAAAACATCATCTTTGATTCCCAACTATGCTTTAAAAAAATCACGTATCAAAGAGATACAAATTACATTTTTGCAAAACCAGCTGGCAACATTAAACCAACATCCAACTACACAAGAAGATAACAAACATCAATAAAATATATACAAACACCATCTATACAAAACACCATGTTTGAAAATGCGTCACCTAAAACCTTGGAACTTCTGTACACAAACAATAACCTCTAAGTACGTATTAATGACAAAACATAAATGGTAACAAGTCCTCAAAAATAAACTTGCCAAACAAGTTACATCAGGTCATATTTTACACAACCAGTAAGAGCCTAACTATGCACTGAACAGACTAGCGGTGCAGACAAGGGTTACCAAGCAAAATATAAATATCTACTCCGACTTTGTGGTAGTCAGTTGATTTCAAACTGAATAAATTTGCTAAAATGCATCTCTTGATCTAGCAGCTTTATGAAGATGCCCAGATTGACATATTCAGCAAATTATAATTAGAAGACACAGGAGCACAGTAAACAAACATGCCTGATGCTCCCCCCCCCCATCTCCTATTACTGATCTTCCAATATCATCCCATGAGAGAAAACTCTCCATATCTCCCCTTATTCAACAAGAAAAATGTGGACACATGTAAGTCACTTTTTAAAAAAAAAGCAAGTTTACCCTCATGGCACCTACACCTGATATGATAATGAACTGAACTAGTAAGTGCAATTCTAACAGTTTTTAGGATCTGGTTGCAGACTTAAGGGCACAAAGAATGTGTCTTTCTCAAGTGAAATCATACACAGGTAAATTCACTGATACAAACTCTGGTCAACACAAATGCCCTTGACAGTCACCATGAGGCTAAGCTCCTGACTGTGCATTTATGTGTAAATAAATGGGACTGGTACCCTGCTTAGTACAGAGTCTGATAGATATAGCAAACAGTTTATTTTAGTCTGCAAGGGTCTCTAATAACAGTGCTGAAGTCTAGTACTTTTGGAGTACCAAGTTCACTGCCAAGCATTCAACTGGTAAGGAGGGAACAGAGCTAGAAAACAAAACCCATTTGACAGTAAATACACAAAGGTAAGATTACAATACGTGTAATTATAAATGTAAGACTGCAAACACTCCCAGTTTTTGGAAAATTAGGTTTTAAGGGGAAAGTATTCCAAAAAGCTGTTATCAAACGTTGATGGTCTGAAGTCATCATTTTACTTTGTAATTTTACCTTATTGTCAAATGTTTTTTCCCTTCTAATAAGTTCAATATACAATATATATAATACAATATACACGTACATAAAGAACTTGGTTCTCCGACAAGGCTCGACCACCAACACTAGTCTCTATTAACAAAGTCAACTATATGCACAGCAATGTATGTATGACCACAGCATGATAATGTGACACAGCATAAATTAAAGGAATTATTTCTATCTTTAATAACGTCATAAACAAGTTAACACAAAATAGGAAAAAGAAATGGGTACACATGTACATCAGGAGTTCGTGACACATTCAGAACTACCGGTGAGTGTGATCACTTTAACCCACACATCTCTATTTCTACATGTACAAGTTCTACTTTTGAACTTCTTCAAAACAAGAATTGATTTCAGTAAAATGTAGTAGCTGGAAAATAGCCAAGTCAACATGAATTTGAACACTTCAAAGGTTTTTCTTTTAGTAATACCCAACTTTCCTGGCCCAACTTTCTAATGCTATTTAAGAATTTTCTTAAATATCACAGACTGACTGACTCCGTGCAATCAATGTATAGCAACAATGGAAATCTCTATAAATGTGAAGGTATCCCTTCACAACAAACATTAACAGAATTCTAGCAAGTTAGCAAAACCAATTCATGGCTAAACTACAATTTTGGTTTAACATGTAGGCACTTTGCTCTTCAATTTGTTTCTGGTACTTCCACACAGAAAAACTACAAGAAATTCTGACACTCTAGGGTACAAATCCTGGCAATATGGTATCAAATCACTCCATTTTGAAATAAAGTAGAGCATCATCATTTGCATAATTAAAGTTTTTTAAACAATGATTACAGAAGTATGATATATATCAAACAAAATAAAAAAATCTCCTTTGAAAAAAATATAAATAAGCAGAATGTCTCTCTGAAAGTGGAAAAATACAAATACGTTCTTATTTACAAACAATATGCAGACACTTCACTGTTTGATAGACAGGGCCTACTTTGAACACAAGAATCAAAACCTGTGTACTTTTGCCAAAAATTAAAATCTGTTTAAAAAGTGATACAAGGGCAGCAGATGTTAAGTAAAATGCACCAAATGTAACAAGATATTCATCTACATATGAAGCACATACATGTATCTCTATATTCAGTTTTTGTCAATAATCTCTGATTGTAAACAAACGATGTCACTTTGATCGTTACAGGAGAAGTATTTCTTTCCTTCCCTCATAAACCTGCGGCAAACGCTTCCACAGTTTCAAGCTTCTCTGTAGTCTTGCATGTTCTTTGATGACATAAGAAAACTAACCAATGACTGCACAAGACTTGAGATTGCAAAGAATATTCCTTGTGGTAACAGTACTGATAAGTTTTGCAGTCTGTCAAGGCTCACCAGCTTTTGAATATTTTTAAATGGCTGTTTTGGAGATGGTAATTTTCACCATTTGGACAGTTCCAAAACATTTTTCCTTAAACTTGAAACATGTTTAACTAATGCATATTCACTAGAGATGTCTCTGTTTCTGCATTGCATTTCTTTCTGTTTTAGACATCAATCCTATTTGAGTTGGCTTGGCAAATAATCAGTTGGATCTGGATGTTTTGATACATATCAATATACAAAAACAAATTCAAAATTTTCAAATTACAAATATTGCTGTTAAGTAGGACTTCAGTTTGGGCTCAATTCTCAACAGCTAAAAATTTCATCCTGCTAAAAATCAAACACTTCAGATGGACTAATCCTTTGTTACATTGGTTCTTAATCAACAAGTGAGGACTGTCAGTAAAACAACCTGTTTGAGTTTTTAGAATCAGTATTACAGTATGGATGAAAGGCTCTTTCTGGAGGAGTAAGTGCGAATAGGGGGTTTAGTCTCCCATGGTAACTGAGGATTTTCGACAGCTGCAAGTCTACCATGGAAATCAGTCATCTGTTTTGGAGAAGCCTTCTTGGAGTGAGTTGGTGAAAGCAACTTTTTGTCTGGAGAAGAGGGGCTGATGTTGCTGCTGGCATGGCTGCCACTGGTACCCATGGTATCATTGCCGCAATTGTTGTTGTGATCAGAGATGCAGTTGCCAGTGGTGACCAACCTACCCTTGGATGGGGACTTGGCAAGACTTCTGTCTTTCTTCCCAGAAGCATTTCTTGATGTTCTGGTGCACTTGTATTCATCACACTGTAGTGAGTACCTTGTTTGGGCCCTGTGAGATGGAGGCTTCCTTCCCATTGCCATGGAAGTTCTTTGAGGTCTCTTTAATGTTCTTGTAGCAGACTTTGCATTACTGTGTGCTAAGCTTCTCAGACTGTAACCCATTCTAGTCCTTGTGTCTTCTCCAGACATTCCACTGGACAGGTCAGTCTCTGTGCTTGAGCCAGCAACAAAATATTTGATGGCATGGTTGACTGCTCTGAGATTGTATCCATGGGATGGAGATGAGGTGGTTGTCTTTCCTTTTGCTGCCACCTCTGCTGAATTAGACTTATTCTTTGTAGATTTAGGATTTTCTTCCTTTCTTTCTTTCACTAGCAATGACATGACCTCTGGCTCAACTACTACCTTCATCGGTTCTTTTTCAGGGATTTGTGATGTCTCCTTTGTCTTCAATGGAGAACAATGCTCACTTGTCTTCCGTCTTGCCTGGTCATATTTAGCTATCTTTGGGCTGCCATTCTCACTTGCTTCCTTAGACCTGCCTCCCGGTATCTCCCTTTGATAGAGGGCTTCTCCTTTCTTTTGTGGCCAAGAATATGGCTCGCTTTTTTTCCTCTTTCCACTGAGTGACCATGTGGAGCGCACATCCTGGACAACCTCGAAGTCACTCCCATCTGAGTCAGAATGGGTTTCTCTGGTCTTGTCAAGTTTGGGACAGTTTTCTAGTCCTAGTACTTCATGCTTTTTCTTTATGTAGTTTCTTTGAACTGCCAATTTGGCAACACTATTACTGGTCTGAACACTGGAATGACAAGACTTACCCCATGCACAAGCTCCACTCTGGTATGGTTTCACGTTTGAAACAGCAAACCGCCCAGTGTGAAAACTGACCACTTCATTTGGCCTGTGTTCTGGCAACAGATTAATACCAGACAATAAGTCTTCAGGTGCATTTAGAATCCTTGCATGGATTTCCTCAGTTGTGATATTGGACTCTTCTGAACTGCTTACAGCCTTACTATCTTCAAATCGGTCACTGCTCCATGGATGGGTTAACTCCAGGTCTCCCTGTGTTGAATTAATCTCTGACTTGGTGTCAATGTCCCCTGAGTTTGACATATTCTCCTTACCAGTAGAAGACTCAGTAATCTGCTTGTACTCTTGAACAGCAAAAGACAACAATGAATCCAATAGTTGATGTCTGGACTCAGTTTGAACTGGTGCTTTCTCCAACTCGTATCCAGCCCTCATTGCTTTGGGAACTCCAGATGAGACAGATGTAGCCTCTGATGGTTTTAGCATTCCTGTTTGATGACGATCACGATCCATTTTGCAATCTTTTTCACGCACAAGTTTCTCTTTGCCAGACTGGTCCATACTTTGCCCCTTGTTTGACCTTCCAACATCTGGACTAATTAAGACACAGCTTTCGGAAGAGGTGCTTGTATTGCTCCTTGTTCTCGTGAATAAATCTGCACTGTCCTCTCCATGTTGTATCAATACTTCCACAGTTTCAGAACAGCTGGAGATTTCGGTACTGTGTGTGGAACTTTCTGGCTGAACTTCTGATTTTGGATTTGATCTGGGTTGTTGGTTGAGAATGTTGCTGGGTGATGTGCATGCAGCCAACAAGAGTGTTTCTGCCTTGTTGTGTGAGGCATTGTCTGTGCAGTTCAAACTATTCCTCCGTCTGGTTGTTTTATTCTCTACTTTCTCTTCACTTCCATCAGCTGGCAGTTGGCTTGATTTTTGATCAGTTGCTGGTTGATTGATAATTAAATGGTTGGTATCCTGTTGCTGAGTTGGCTTTTGTATCGTTGTGCAATGACTTGTTGCATCTTGGTTGGAAGACCATCGAGTTGTTACACATTTGTTTGCTGACTGTGCATAAGTTGACTGGGAGTTGATAGTGGATGGTTTCAGCTTGACTCCTGCTTCAGCTACTGACCTTTGGTGGAGTGGCCATTGCTTGGTGGCTTGTTGACTGGTTTGGTTTTGGTCAAAGATTAGTGACTGTTTGTCTGTTTTTCCATTTAGTTGTCCACATTGATTTTTGATTGATTTACAATGAGAAGTGTATTGGCTACCTGTCGGAGAGTTACTTTTTGTAACTTGCTGTAAGTCCTCCAGCTGAACTACACAAGATCTTTGATCTGTACTGCAAAGACTTGCTCGAAGCCTGTTGATCGTGCTCTCCAAACTGCAGAATCCTTGTCCTGAGTTTGCTTCATGATCTGTTATTGTATTCATGAAGACAGGCAGACTGGTTCCAGCACAGCAAACTGCAGGCTTTGGGGGAGCTATTTCCTTATTATTATCCTCAGAAAACCAGAGTCTAAGCTCATTCCAGTTTGGTTCAACCACCATTTGGTTTCCATCAGTAGATAGAGATTTGATGGCAGTCCACTGCATGCTTTCTTCTGTGACAGGATCGGGTGTTACATCTGATCCAACAATGCTGCTTGCTTCTGATGGCTGTTCAATGCTATGAAACCAACCGTTGACATCTGCAGTCAAGTCATCAGGGTGTCCATCAATGATGGAACCACTGATCGGCTGGTTCAGTACTGGTAACTCTGGGTCAACCATTTCATCCTTGAGATCAGCTAAAAAGTTTTGATGAACCGCAAGGTCACCGCCATCGACTGACGGCTTATCAAGGTTATCTGGCCCTTCAAAACATTTAAGCTCAGATGCTAGATCATCAAGCCCTTTTTCACCCGTGGTGGGGACTTTATGGCCTTGCTTGTCAGAACAAAACACTGCTTCACAACTGCTCATATCATAATTTTGCAAACTTTTCTCAACTGGCACGCCTGATGCAAGTTGAACATCTTCAGTGTCCCACGTCACCTCAACGTCTTGGTTATGTTCCTGATCACTTGATACCTGTACAACATCGAAAGTTCTCACTGCATCCTGCTTCTCAGCATTGCTCAGTTTGGGATCCAACTCCTCGGTGGGTTTCTGTTTATCTTCACAGCAAGGAGGAAGGCTATAAGCATGGTCCTCTTGCAATGCTGTCCCTAATGAAGCTGAGGATTCCTCCTCCACTGGCTGAATCAATGTTTCATCCTTAGGTCTGTTCTCCAACAGATGGTAATGGCTAAAGAGGGTATCGTTGGAATTACAAAGCACTACCTTACATGGCGGTACATCCTCCTGAGTTTGAACAAGATCAGCGCCAGCACTCAGCTCACTGTGTTGAGGACAGCTTGTTGCAGGGTCTGTAGAGCCGGATATTGATGGTTGGTCATCATTGGTGACCCAGTGTGGTTGCCAGGTCATGTCAAGTGACATCATATCAGATAACCATTGCAGTTCCCATTCTGTATGTGCTATGACAGGACTTTGCTCTGCTTTCTCAGAGAATTCCTCAGTCTCTGTGGCCAGTTCTGCCGGTTTCTCCCCTTCTTCATCCTCACTGTCATCCGAACCCATTTCCTTCACAAACACCTTGATCGTCATTACTCTGTTTGGCTCCTTGAGCTGCACATTAAGTACTGTACTACTGTGCAGGTACTTCAGACATTTTCCTCGCAACTGTTTCCACTCCACCAAAGGAGAGATGGTGCTAGGGAGAAGACTATACATGCCGTGAACCAAGACGCAACTCAGACAGGATGGCAAGAGAGGCACAACAGGAACCCTGATTTCTCCTGACTTATAAAGCTTGTCCAAATCAGTGAATAACTCTTTGGTTGGGGTGATTGTGAATGCCGTTAGCAGGCACAACTGCTTCAAACTGGTGTCTCCAATTAACAACTCCGACAGCAGGTAGCAAAGGGCTGAGTTGTTGGTGTCAATACGGCTAGCATTGACCAGATTATTCTGTGGATCTTTCACAGGTTGCTGGAGAGCCATCAAACACAGGTTGACACAGATAACCAAAGAATGCTTTCCAACCTGAAAATAAAAGAACATACAAACATGGCCAAGCTCCTGGTACGTCCATTCTTACAATCCAATGACACACATAAACCCTCCCATGCGAAGTTACATTTTTGACACAGTTGTCCTATCCTGGGGTAAATCAAGTGGAAGGAATTTTTGACTGTCATTGACAGTTACAGCAGAAGGAGGGTTCATTCAAGGTGCAAATTTGAAATGCTAAGTAGAAAAGGTAAAATGTACCTTCTGTGTTATCTGCAATAAAAGACAGGAATGATTTCCAGTAATTTACATTTCATTTTGATCTACGAGATTTAAGTTCTCAAGATCAACATATTTGCAGACCCTTTTTCCGGAAAGAGAAAATAAATATCAAGTAATCCACAAATCACTATTTCCGATTTAGTGAAGCTGTACACACACCTACAGACAAACAAATCCTAGAACAAAAAGAATGCCTATTTACTTTCTCGTTTCCATTTCATTACTCCTTGTCATTGGAGACCTTAGTTTTCACTTCTACGACGGATCTCATGATCTTAGAGGGCGATGATGGGCACAATGTTATGTCACGGTAAAAACTTTCTAACAGTGTTATAGTCCAATTCATCAAAAGCCAGGTCAAGATTACAAGCTATTCAAATGAACTGTGACAAAAGAGTTCTTTTAGTGTCGCTGTTCACCTGTAACTAATCACTTGTAATGAGGGGACTTGTGACAGAACATGTGAAGGGACTTGTGATGGACTCTACTATCCCCCCACCAACAAAGATATTATAGATTATTATTTAGTTCCCTACACTGGAGCTCTCATAAAAAGTCACGAAGATTTCTTCTCTTACGGCAGGTTTTGACAAAACCTGCTACTGTGGTTGCATATGTGCTTCTTGCTATGCTTAATGCTTGAAATAAACATGACTTGAAATCAACATGAAGAGGCTTGTATAGCAACAAAGTGTTCTTTTCTTAGTAGGACTTTGATATTGGCCCTTGTTTTAATTTCTTTTAATACTTGGACCTCCGTTTTTCCCATCTATTATCTTGTCTCCCCATACCCAGCTGCATGTATACAGTTTCATCACAAGAAGTCGGATTAGTCCTTACCTCAGCATGAATAATCTTGACCAGAGTCAAGACAAAGGTGGGTTCATGGACGATCAGTTTTCCAATTCGCAAGGCCTTTGTTTGAAAGGTTTGAATGTTGTGATTACACTGAGCCCACAGGAGGTTCACCCACAGGGTTGTGACTTTTCGGAGGTCACTTAAAGAGATAGTCTCCTCACCTACAGGTAAGGGAAAAATTCAAAGATTTAGTTCCACAGATCCGACAATAATTTTCCTATGTTCAAACAGGCAAACAGAGAGCTTTTCTCTGTACTGTTTTCACAATTCTTGAGCAATATCACCAATTTTTGAAAGGGTGTTACTCTTTTGTAATGTCTCAAACGTTCTTTGAAACAAAGAAAGAAACTTGTAGTCTCAAATAAACTAATTTGAAGCTGGACTCTACTAATAGATTTGATAGATATGGACAACCACCACAGTAAGATTCTCTGTATGTAAGTGTACATTCACAGGCTAGGAAGCTTTTCTGGCAACTCGCTCCCCTCAACGGGCTCCAAAGAAAAAAAAAGGGTAACAAATATTCTTGATGAACCCTCAGACCATGTAAGACGTGTAACGTGTGAGACTTCCCACAAATATGGATCCTTACCGCACCATTCTTTACACAGCAACATTTCTGCAGTCAGTAAGGCAGCTGGCTTGTAATATTGGCTAAGTGACTTAGCTGCAGGATACACATGTGTCATGGAATCCAGCTGCTTGACCTGAGAAACAAAGAAATTAACAGAAAAACTGCTACCAGGTGTACACTATCATACCCACAAGTCATGGTCATGGAGCCCACACTTTGGCTACCCTGAAGCTATTTGACATTCTCAACACATCCTGCGTGGGGTGAGCTAGAGGTACAGAAGAATTAGGTTAATTTATGACTGCTTCAGTGGAGATTTCTTTTTATATTAGCTGAACGAATCTTTGAGTTAAACTGAGGTACCAATGTGACCATTTTAACCACTTACCGCTGAGGAGCCCGGTTTCGGGCACGTATTCTTTATATGCATAGCCAAAGTCTCCGAAATCAGACAAAGAGAACTGGGCCTTGTAACAAAATACCGTACTCATAACAAAAGCCAAGGCTGCTAGGAATTACCAACATTTTTTCACCGTCAACAGGGGAGAAAATCCAGCCTTGTTTTGAAACAGTACACCACTGTTTGGGGCATTCAGGGCGAGCGGATTACCACCAGAGACAAAAGCTCTCCACCACCGCAGCGATGAGCCACACAGCACCGCTGCATGCTAATCTGGCCCCTATTGAAAATTGGTCAGCAGCGCAGTGCCAGTTTCATGAACAAAAGAAAGTACATAATCACCGCACAATCTGGGCTCTTTTTACAAGGCGGCAGGCCTGGCTGAAATACTCTTAACGTCAATAGCTGTTGTCTGTCAGATTAGAATATTAACCAGACAGTCCTTTGTGTGGGTGTAAGTGTCCAGTAAATGAAGTTATGAATTCTTCAAGAATTTTGAAAACAGAAAAAAATGAAAAAGATCCCGTCCCAGCAGTATCGACATTCATATATGCCCCCCAGCGCAATGTGGTTAAGCTGCAAAGGTGTCCATGTGCACGATAACTCATTCTATTTTTGAGACAAACAACTTTCAAGTTAACTAATTTTGTGTTAATGAGAGTTCACTGTAGGTAACATTCAAGACAAGTGTAACTTCCTCCAATCTGTTGTCAAAAACTAATCCCTCTGATTTCACTTCTTCTGAATGAAACTAATCATTTTAATTTACAGTTATTTGGAAAGCTTAAACCCATTACCATGATTTTTAGTCTCCAAAATATCCTATTTTTCTAAGTCACAAGACATCTCACCTCAGTCCACATCATATCTAGCTTCTCCATGTTTGTAAACAGCACAAGAGCTGTCTCCAGAAACATTGAGTCTTCACACAGCTCTGGATCATGATAGCAGTCATAAGCTAGTGAAAGGGCCTTCTCATATAGGCCTTCCTCTAGGAGGGCTTTCACATATTGCGACAGAGTCATGTGATGAGCTGCTGGTGGTGAGGGGCTGGCAGTACTGACATCTAGGACTTTGCCATCTAGAAGAAAAAAGTGAGAAGATCAACTACAAATTGTCTCCCTCAGAGCTACAATAACGTACAGCCTACGGGTCAGGATTGCAAATTACATTGTGTTCTATATATGACAGTCCAAAAAAAGATTTTCCCCTCCTGATGTATGCAGACACCTCTCTCCATATGAAAATATATCAGTCAGTAGTAACGCAAAGAACAAATTCAGGTATGTCAGGAAGTGTTATTGTTACACCTGAACCATAGCATCTGTCCCAATTATAGTTCGGACCATTTGCAGTTGGGACTGCTGTAGTTCCAGCTATAGTACTACAGTTGGGCTGGTTCAATTATGGCCTCAAGCTGGACCAAGAGAGGGCAGTATTTCCTCAGCAATAGAGGCTCCTTTGGTACTAACTGCCCATCGCTGGGTCACAAACGACTAGGCTATGCAAGCATAGCAGTCACATCACTACCAACAAAATGAATGCTTTTGACCAATGTGGCTCTTTCCAACCAATAAGGTTGTGCTTCTGGATTGTGCATGTGGATTCTAAATTGACATTGTTCTAAATCTTGCTAGGTTCTTGTAGTGGTGTGCTTCATCTTTGCCGAATAACAATGACTTAATCTGTTGTAATGTGAAAATAATGCGCAATAAAGTTACCGATGTAACAAGGGACGCCGTCACAAACTGCACCCGAACTTCATGGAATGACCCATATCCATTGATGTTTGCAAAAGAAATCGGGCTGAAAGCTTTAATTTAGAAAGTTTAACTAAAGCCACATTTTATCAAATAAGTTGCACAATAAATTATGACAAATTTCCCAAGTCCACAACCTGCACTGCAACTTATGGCTTAACTTCCACAATCATTGTTGGCAGAGTAAGTTGTGCTTACAAAATCAAAAATGAACAATTCTACAAACTAATTATGTTTGGCTAGGCTCATCTTTGCTAAACTCAACAGTACTTATATGAAATATGTACAACTGGTTTTGGGGGTAATGGAAAACTTGTTTGGCCGTGAGAGAACTTCTAGATTTTCTGCACAGTTCCAACAAGGAAAGACAAAAGATGTTTTCAAAATGGCCGGTGGAGCAATGTTAACATTTGTTAAATGACTGCTGACAAACACATAAGTGATTCTTTGTAAAATTGACTGCAAGTACTACATCAAGCATTTCTAGAGTAAGGTTTATCTATAGTGCAGAGTTACATCAAGTTTCATAAAACTGGCTGTAGGTGTCATAATTTGCCTTCTTAATGTAGAGTGTAATCATATCAAATCTACATGTAACTCCCCCTTTCTCCCACATACACATCTTGATTTCAAACTGGCATACAAGCCGAGTTTTCAATCAATATTTAAATGAACTATTAAAGTTTAACCACCTACAGACGAATATCCAAAATGAGGAAGAGTCAAGACGTTTCTATGAATAGACTGTCTACAAGAAGGACAGGGTAATTACCTAACTCCTGGCCACTGCAAGAACAAGTACATGTAGGTGGTGATTCAGACTTATCAGACAGTTCACTCTGAAGAGTCTGAACTGCATGTTGGGTCATGCTTGATCTACTTAGCTCTTCTTGTAACTGCACTGACATTGTGAAGGACCTTCTCCGTTTATGTCACTTGATGAAGGACCATTCTCTAAGAAATATGAAAGAAGGATAAATCAAAGGGAAATTAACTAATGATGTTGAAGAAACTTAAATATTTAGCCTACTACCAGTGTGAAAAGTAAAAGCAATTGATGAATTCAGTGTCCCAGTTTCTAAAAAGAATCATTTTCAAGGTACATGTTTACGTAGACATCTTTCATTTAAATTACCAAAAAAGACACAAAAAATGAAAGAGACGTGTTGGATAAAAAAATTAATAGTTTAAGTTTGTTGTATTTTGTTATGGTTGGTTATGGCATAGTTTCACAAGAAATACAAACACTGATGCTTCCATAGCTGCCTGCACATCTCCAACCATAGCCAAACACTTGGATGTTACACATGTTCAGAGATCAACATAGATGACTACATGGGGGTGGAAAATGACTGCCCATCTAAAGTTGAAAGTTCCAACATTTTACTTTCAGATACACGTAGATTGGTCAACTTTTTTGGTATTCTTTATGTTGTTGCTCCAGTTGTACAGGCAAGAAAACAATTCAACAGGAAACCTCCTCAAATGAAGTGAGCAGGGGCATCAAACATGAATCGTGTGTACTTCTTCGGACAGTCTTGAATAAGAATGTCACTTTTTACAGTAAATTTTGAATTAGTAGATTTTGAACCATAAAAGGTTTAGAAGACTGCAAAACTATGTGAGGAGGCTGACAGAATGAGCCAAGCTAGACCAAGAAAGGGCACAATTTTCATAGCAACGGAGGCTCCTTTGGTTGGATATGCACTTGTTCACCAACGACTGTGAAATGAACACCTCTAGTAAAATGAACACTCCTGGCCACATGACTCTTTCTGACTGATGACAGGGTGCTTCTGCTCAAAGCAGATACACAATCGGAGAGCTTAGCCTAAATAGCCTCATGTTTCTCAACTCTTTTAAGTTATATAAAAAAAAATTTGACATGACTGAATTCTAAACACTATCATGATTACCTATACTGTCATAAGCCTTATCACAAATACTGCATGGGTGAAGGAAAAACGAGCAAACATTGAACCTTTTGCCTTCCCATAATGCCTTTCTACCATTAGGCCTATACAAAATTACTCATACAGTATTTGTGAAAAGGCTTATGTGTCTGGAATTCAGTTACGTGCATGTCAGTCATGTCAGTGCTTTGTTGGGCTCAAGTCATGTAAAGTTGTGGAGCAAATCAATCCCTTAAAAAACCTTAAATGGTTCAGGAACCTTCTTCATTAACAGTAATTAACAGACTAACCAGCATGACGAGGACCAGGTAACTTTGATACTCGGTAATTCCTACTTTTAGGACCCTCTAAACAAAGTTTCATACATGTATGTTTGTTTTATTCAACAACAACATTCAACGTCTGTGTTCCTTCCTCCATGGCACTAGTAAGCAGGAGGTCATTGGTTCGAGTCCCACCCAAGTAAGCTTGTGACTTTTTTCGCAAGCTCTCGGACAAGCACTGAGCATACAGTGTTTATTAATATATACGTTGAGTAAGGGCAAAACCCATTATATCAATTAACATTTCATCTTTGTACATGGTATTCATCAATCCAAATTACCTTTGCAGCCTAGGGAAATCTTCCTTTTTAGCCTAGCCTGGGCCCGAGCCATGTGCACAGTTTTGAGACACATGTAGACCGTACCATAAGTTCAGGCCTGCTACACTAGCACCTGACTAGACTAGTGTGAAATTCTTGCCAATTTACAACTTTTGGTAGTTGAAGTTAAACAACAAAAAGTGCGAGGACTGCCAATATACATGCATGTACTTCTAGCTTAAGTTAAAATTTGACACGCTTGAATAAGCGCCATAACTGACAACACCAGTCACTACCGCTTGTCTTTGCCAGCCAACGCACGCGGCAGGTTTTCTCACATTCTGGCATGACGATGAAGGAAACCCTACTTAGTACTGACGACCGGGTTCAGAAAAATAAACTGATGATACACCGCGGCCGCGGCCTTTCAATTCCATAAAGACATCAGATTATTAAACTAGAAAATTATTAAACCTACTGAAGCCTTGAGGTGCGCCGTAATCAATGCTATTCACGAGGTCAAAGCGTAAATAAAACGACTGAAATCAACCCCTCGATGCCACCCGCGCACGTGAATGTTGACAGCTTTGCCCGGGCACGTACACACCAATTTATTACACGTATGTTTAGGGAGTCTGGTACTTATACGACTAACGTTAGAGTCTTACGTGCGATTTGTAGAAGCGCCAGACTTTTTGTAAGTAGTACGGAGTCCTCAATCAAACGTCGTCTACTTTCGAATACCGCGGCACTCTGCCAGAAAAAAAATAAAAATTGGCCTACGTACAACCTTGTATCATGGAGGTAGACTACACACTTGTATCATTTCTGTTTTCGCTATAAATTAAAATTTTACATATGAATCATTTAGTGATTTGTTAACGACTTTTTTAAGCAATTGCTCATTTACTGAAAAACGTGATCAGCGCATTTTAGTATTATCCGCCTGAGAGCCAATTCAGCCAATGAGGGGCCGTCCCCAAGACGTCAGGGTTAAATGTCGCAACGCAAAACAGGATACAGCGCAGGATCTAGGAAGTCAGCGGCAGCAATTCGCAAGCGCATCGCGCAGCACGCCAAGTGGATCCCATGCTGGAAAGACTCTCGTGGTGTACAGACTTGAGGAGATCTTTACTTCGTTAATGCATTACTCCTTCAGTTACCTTATTACGCCCCAACAATTAGCTAAGCTTAGAGGCGTCTTCGGTTTCTTGAGTAGCTACCTGTCAGTGTCACATGTTCCAACTTTGCCCGTTCGTTTTGCGCTGCTGGAGGAATAAAAGTGTGTAACGTTAACCAGCCCAACGTGGAAAAAAGTTGCATCCTGACTCCACTTCAGCAGTTGTGTACAACGTCTATGGGGGTGAAAAGAATTTTCTAGGTAATTCCCAACAACATCGGTAAATGTTCTCAGTCCCGAATTCGTGTCTTTCAGCATTTCTGTAATGGCTGACTTTTATTGAGACGATATAAGACCTATGATGAGGAAAGTGGAGTCAGGATGCAGCATTCTTACCAATATTTTTATACCAGCCCCGTAGTGTTTGTGCAGAGGGTGTCAAGTGGCGTCCGTATATGGAACTCTACTGTGTCAAGCTCAGCTAGTTGGCATGCTAGCGTTTGATGTCTTGTATTGATCCTCTTTTTTATTATATTTTGGATATAATTTTTATTGTATGTATATTGCATGTTGTATATTTTGAGTCTGCCTTAATAAATTAATAATAATAATGAGTTGACCAATGAAAATTAAATTTTGTCAGAAAAAAAGTAAGAAAAACCTCCCACACAGTCAACAAAGTGCATCTAAATAATACATGTACATTCTGTTTGTTCCTTTCTTGACTTATCTTGACAGATTCATTGTAATTGCACTACTGATGAAGATACACTTTTAACGATTGTCAAGACACAACAGCAGGCAACGTATAACAACAAATATGCCCATGCGTGGACCAGTTCAAGGTTCAACATTACTGAGGAATTTGCCATACAAAAGCTTGTCCAAGTTAGCACGTCTTTTAGACCCTCCAAATAGCACATTTGTTGATTGGAGAGGATTGGCTAGTAGAATTCCTCGCAAACCTGGAGACGACCAGCTCAGATATGGACCACAAGAGATAGCGTAAAGATAATTTCAATTTCTCTTTCTTCACTGGGATTTTTATTGATTTCATTTAGTTTATGGGTTAAGTTACATCCATGGGTAAATATCAGTATCGTAACTATAACACATCAGGATCCAGGAAAGATTTTGACCTCCCAAACCCTCTGTCAATAGAATACAGTCATCTTTACAGCGTGGTTTCACACTTGCTCTCTTTTTGTTCAAAAATATTTTTTTAAATCAGAATTGAATATATGCAATACATCTGTGCTTTTCAATCAACCAGCACAGCGGTTTGCAAGTATAAATTTCTTTGTATCCTGCACCAAAGGTATTATTGAAAATTAAATGTTTAACATTTAACTTAGATTTTAAGTGTGAATGCAGTTTTCACCATCTGTACTTGTGTAGATATCTTTCTTTTCCACGTGTGAGTAAACCATGCGCAGCCCTGTTACTAGCTTCATGCATGGGGGCATAGTACCAGCTGAAGGGCACATCATTAGAACAGTCATGATTTTTGCCAATCGGGGACAACTGCTCAGGGGAGGGGGGTTCCTCAAAGTCCCCCTTAGCGACAGACCTGACCATACAGCTCCATGAACATGCACTGTTCAATCAATTCTAGCTTTGTGCTGAGATCAGTTTACTACAGGCTTGCATTAATTGCATTGATTTCAATTTGGCAGGGTGTTTGATTTGGAATATCGACGGCCTGGTGGTAGTCCTACCATTGCTCTTATTAATGACTGGGGGACCGTCAATGCCACCGTTCAAGATTTAGTCAGTCATCTGATTGATATGGGTCATTTAGCAGCTGCTGAGGTCATTCTGCCTGGTAAAGACATCTTGGCAGATTCTTTTTGACTGTCAAATTTACAGTTTATTTAAACCTCCATTTTCAGTGCTCTATTCTTGCTCTTTAATGTTGTAAGGAATTCCAGGAATACATGTAAGGGGTCTATTTTTTTTTCGTGTCCCTGTTACATCTGACATTTGATTTTATAAGTTCAGAACACATTTTGTAATTTCCAAGAGTGATGAATTCATACAAATTACTTGCCAAACAATACTAATAGTTTGAAATCAATTCTGGTGATATTTCCATGTCAAATAACAAAGGTCAAATGTAACAGGGACACAAAACTGTCACACTTTTGGACCCCTAATCTCTGGAATTACCCATAAATGCTCATTCACTCTGTGCTGTGTGAGGGATGTGAAGGTGCAGAACTTGAATGACTGCATGTCTCAGACTTGCGAACAAAATGTATTAGTTGTATTCATTGTCACATAATTTTTTGCCAATTTTTAACATCATTGTCATTTCTAAATGACCAATATAACTCTTGTAGGTGTCACGACGGACCCAAATCTGAATATTACAAGCACCGTGTCTTCAACAACAATCAACCAAGATGAATATCGGAGTGGTTCAGCAGTTGAGTCGAATTATGCTAGTAACAATCCAAACCCTCACATGGAGCAAATCAGTAGCAGGCTAGATTCCATTCAAAAAGCCAAGAACCTAGCCCAGCAAACCTCTCACGAGTCTAGAAGATTGGGAGACTCGGGTTTAGTTTCATCATCCACTGAAAGGTATGAACACCATGCACAGAGTCAAAACAGAAAACGTCAAATTGAAAAAATACCTGTAAAAAGGAGTTTTGGATAAATTGTCCATCTTTGACATGATTCCATTTGCTGTCACATGTAAAAGTAACGTTGGTAACTTTTATGGAGATTTTTCCATCAGTGTTGAACCATTTCACTACACAGATCACATGATCACAATCTGGCTTTCTGCCTGTTCAAGCATGGCTAACGGCTTCAATGCCAAGTGTGCCACAACTCACCTCCAGCTGATTTAATGGCCTGTTTATTTTGTACACTTACTAAGTCTGATAAGTCTATGTGGAAGGCCGCTGTGCACAGTCCATTGTGGTAGCATACAACATGCAGTGGGCGCACAACAAATGTTAAACCTATGAGGTTGCAGTAAGATATATTGTAGAATACCGTTCAAAGGACTCGTGCGCAGTAAGATATATTGTAGAATACCGTTCAAAGGACTCGTGCGCAGTAAGATATATTGTAGAATACCGTTCAAAGGACTCCTGCGCAGTAAGATATATTGTAGAATACTGTTCAAAGGACTCCTGCAAATTAGTACTCATGGTGCTTGACTGTATGCCATGAGTTATCTGCTATATATTGCCTTTTTGGAAAGTCCAAATTTCCTGCCCAAAATATCACCATTAGCAAATACATGTAGTTGATCGGTAAATGATGCAGAAATAGATAACTGTAAAACTTGTAATTGTTGTTAATAAACTAGTTGCAGTGTAGAGAGCCAGGGAGAAATTCATAGTAGGAGCACAGAAGGCCAAAGAAGCAATGATTCCCCTGTGTCGACATCAGTTCCAGTAGAGTCCAGTGATTTGCCAGATTTTGAGCCAGATAAAGGTATGTTTAGAGCTTTTAAATTTCTAAGAGACTTCTTCAACATTTATTTTTCACTCACTGGAACTTGTAAAATTTCAAGCTTTGAAACAAGGAATTTGACACTGTATTTCCAACTTTTTCTATTTTCAGTGAAAGAGTACAGTTACAATCGTCTGAGCTTCATGACAGATTCCTTTAATAACACACCATCAAGTCAAGGAGGTAACATGATTGGGGAAGGCGGTTTTGGAACTGTCTACCTCGGTAGATTTAGCGATGGCCATGAGTGTGCTATCAAGAAGCTGAAGCAGGTTAGAGAAAGATCTTTGATCTTGCAACTTGTTGTACAAGAACTAGTTCATCAAAGTAAATTGTGATGGGCTTCAGTCATTGCCAATTCTGACACGATCAGCATGTACATAGTACTAGCCTATAATTCTGCTGTCAAAGAATAAAGTGCAATTTTCTTTTTCAAGGGCATTTTGTAGGTCCATGGAACAGCAACTCAGTTACAATGATATTACAGACTACATTCAATCACTCATGCAAACATTGCCAATGTCTGCCAACTTTGTGTGCAGTGTTTGCTCAAGTGAAATGCAAGCTGGTTCTACGCTTTTAAAATCTTTAACCCTGATGGATGTAAAAAGATTTTAGATGTATTCACATCTATATTATCTTGTTGCATTGGAGAGTTAATAGCAGTAGTCAGCCTTCCTCTATGTTCACATGCATTACCAAAGCTAAGTGGCAGAGAGTTTCCCAATTGAAAAATGTCATTCTTCATTCTGTTGTTGCTGGCAGACTTGCACCCTGAGGCCATGAACCTCTGTGAAAATGAGTCAAAAGTGACTAGAGCCACTTTGAAGTTTTAGTTTGTATTGGAAAGAGCAATCAAAGCTCTCTGTTTTGACATATCACTCAGATTAATATCCTGACGAACATCATGAGGGTGAAACTTGGAGGATTCCTACTGCTTTAAAGTGTGCAAGATTCTTTCATGAGTGGCTCTGGCATCACTCATTTTTCACAGAGGGGGTCAGAATGTGAACAGCAATAAGAACATCTTTAAATTTTGACAACAATTTCCTTGAGTTTCATTTTATCTTCTGTTTCCACCCCGTATCCACTTTAACAGAGTGTTTTCCAGTGTTCCGATGTCGAGTTGCTGAAACAGTACCAGAATGAATTACAGATGCTGAAGAGGTTTGTGAGAAGTGCATTTGGAAAAGTCCAATTTTTCTTTAGGTTCATGTATAGGTTGATTAACTTTAGAAGCACTTACAATGAACTGACGAAACCTAATAGGGGAATCCAACTTTTTGCACAGACACAAAGAAAACATGGATTCCTCTGTTTTGTCCGTGAAATATTGAACCTTGTTTTCAAGTTAATCACAGTTTTAAATCACGATGTAGATGTGTGTGTACACTTAGTGTCTATGTAAGTATGAGGCACGTAGTTCTCTTGGATGACGGGTCAAGTGTTTATTTACAAGGCCTGTTTGTTTTGTTCAGATCTTGATTTCAATCAGTGGTGCC